CATGATATCTGCAGGAACAGTGACAAATAGTTTCATATCCTGGAATAGCCCATACATCTGAATAATGTTTATAGTATTAAAAACTAAACGTAACATTTGCTAGGCTAGTCTGTACGAGTATAACAGTTAAGTGCCAATATCGTTGTGCTGCATATGGTTTATAATAATTCTGATCCTTCATGTTAACCCAACCACCAAACCAACCCAATTGAACCACCAATAGCTGTGAAGTCTATACGCAAACAGCAACTCGTTGAGGTGCGAACGATGGCGAATCCACCGTCGGTGGTTAAATTGGCACTCGAGTCGATTTGCCTGCTGCTGGGCGAGTATGCGACCGATTGGAAAGCGATACGCGCAGTGATAATGCGTGAAAATTTCATTAATTCAATTGTATCTAACTTCGGTACCGAGAACATAACGTAAGCATGAAACAAATTTTACATTTTGTTTTTCTTTTTTGTTCTCGAATTGATTTTTTCCTTGATTTTTTGTTTTTACTGAAGAGTAGAAAATTATTCTGTTGAGATTTGTTTTCCCGTAGTTTTTGTGAATGATTAAGCGAGCTGCGTTGTCTGTAAATATTATTTATGTTGCTCCTAATCTTTAATATTAACTGGTAATTGGCTTTAATTTGGAAAACTTCTTCATTGTTTTTATTTTATTTTATTTTTTATTTAATTGGTTTTGGTTAAATTTTCGCGTTGATCAGTAATAACAAACTGCTTTGCTTGCTCAATTCATACCAGTATAACCTGAATAGTGTCATGAGTTAATAACAATTAATAATCTGTAATCTATGATTAATTTGGGAATTTCACAGCGATGAGGTTCGGGAGAAGATGAAGTCGAAGTACCTCAGCAATCCTGACTACAACTTTGAGAAGGTCAATCGTGCGAGTATGGCTTGCGGTCCCATGGTTAAATGGGCTATAGCACAGGTAAATATTATGTGGTGTATATAGAATATTACCAGATAATTTCTAATGCCTTTTTCTTTCACAGATCGAATACGCAGACATGTTGAAGCGTGTGGAGCCGTTGCGTGAGGAACTGCGCTCATTGGAAGAGCAGGCTGACGTGAACTTGGCTAGCGCACAGGAGACCAAGGATTTGGTGGAGCAGTTGGAACGCAGCATTGCTGCTTACAAGGAGGAATATGCTCAGCTTATTTCCCAGGCGCAGGCCATCAAAACTGATCTGGAGAATGTGCAGGCCAAGGTGGATCGCTCGATTGCTCTGCTCAAGAGCTTGAACATTGAACGCGAGCGCTGGGAGTCCACCAGCGAGACATTCAAATCCCAAATGTCCACAATTGTGGGCGATGTGCTACTGTCGGCAGCCTTTATAGCGTATGGCGGCTACTTTGATCAGCATTATCGTCTTAATCTGTTTACCACCTGGTCACAGCATTTGCAATCGGCGAGCATTCAATACCGTGCGGACATTGCACGCACAGAATACCTATCCAATCCGGATGAGCGTTTGCGCTGGCAGGCGAATGCGTTGCCCTCGGATGATCTGTGCACGGAGAATGCGATCATGCTGAAGCGTTTCAACCGTTATCCGTTGATCATTGATCCTTCGGGACAGGCCACAACGTTCCTGTTGAATGAGTACGCCGGCAAGAAGATAACGAAGACCTCCTTTTTGGACGATTCGTTCCGCAAGAATCTGGAGTCGGCTCTGCGTTTCGGTAATCCCTTGCTTGTGCAGGACGTTGAGAACTATGATCCTATATTAAATCCGGTGCTGAATCGCGAGCTGCGTCGCACTGGCGGCCGTGTGCTCATCACGCTGGGCGATCAGGACATCGATTTGTCGCCATCCTTTGTCATCTTCCTGTCGACGCGTGATCCAACTGTTGAATTCCCGCCCGACATTTGCTCGAGGGTGACCTTTGTCAACTTCACAGTGACGCGCAGCTCGCTGCAATCGCAGTGTTTGAACCAAGTGCTGAAGGCTGAGCGTCCGGACATTGATGAGAAACGTTCCGATCTGCTGAAGCTCCAAGGCGAGTTCCGTCTGCGACTGCGTCAGTTGGAGAAGAGTCTGTTGCAAGCACTGAACGATGCCAAGGGCAAGATTCTGGATGACGATTCGGTCATCACAACTTTGGAGACACTCAAAAAGGAGGCATACGATATCAACCAGAAGGTGGATGAGACGGACAAGGTGATAGCCGAGATTGAGACGGTGTCACAGCAGTATCTGCCACTCTCTGTGGCGTGCAGCAACATGTACTTCACGATGGACAGCTTAAACCAAGTCCACTTCCTCTACCAGTACTCGCTGAAGATGTTCCTTGACATATTCTCCACCGTGCTATACAACAATCCACGGCTCGAAGGCCGCACCGATCACTCGGAGCGCTTGGGCATCGTGACCAGGGATCTATTCCAGGTGTGCTATGAGCGTGTTGCACGTGGAATGCTGCACAACGATCGCCTTACCTTTGCACTGCTCATGTGCAAGATCCATCTGAAGGGCACTGGAGAATCTAATCTCGACGCAGAGTTCAACTTCTTCCTACGCAGCCGTGAGGGCCTATTGACGAATCCGACACATGTTGAGGGATTGAGTAGTGAGCAAATCGAGGGTGTTAATCGCTTGGCTACCCGTTTGCCCATCTTCCGCAAGCTGGTGGAGAAGGTGCGCTCCATGCCTGAGCTTGGCGCCTGGTTGCAGCAGAGCTCACCAGAGCAGTGCGTGCCCCAGCTGTGGGACGAATCGAAGGCACTGAGCGCCATTGCGAGCTCCGTGCATCAGCTGTTGCTCATACAGGCCTTCCGACCGGATCGAGTCATTGCCGCTGCTCACAATGTGGTCAACACGGTGCTGGGCGTCGACTATATGCCAAACGCTGAGCAGGAGCTGGACTTTGCGGCCGTGGTGGATAAGCAGTTGAACTGCAATACACCTGCTTTGCTATGCTCTGTGCCCGGCTTCGATGCATCGGGTCGTGTGGATGACTTGGCCGCCGAACAGAACAAACAAATCTCGAGCATTGCCATCGGTTCGGCCGAGGGCTTCAACCAGGCTGAGCGAGCCATCAACATGGCCTGCAAGACAGGTCGCTGGGTCCTGCTTAAGAACGTACACCTGGCTCCACAATGGTTGGTGCAGTTGGAGAAGAAGATGCACTCGCTGCAGCCACACTCCGGCTTCCGCCTCTTCCTCACCATGGAAATCAATCCGAAGGTTCCGGTTAATCTACTACGCGCCGGTCGCATCTTCGTCTTTGAACCACCGCCAGGCATTCGCGCCAATCTGTTGCGTACTTTCTCGACGGTGCCCGCGGCACGAATGATGAAGACGCCCAGTGAGCGTGCTCGACTCTATTTCTTGCTGGCCTGGTTCCATGCCATCGTTCAGGAGCGATTGCGTTATGTGCCTCTCGGCTGGGCCAAGAAGTACGAGTTCAATGAGTCCGACTTGCGAGTGGCTTGCGATACGTTGGATACGTGGATCGACACCACGGCCATGGGACGTACCAATTTGCCACCAGAGAAGGTGCCATGGGATGCACTGGTCACTCTGCTCTCCCAGTCCATCTACGGAGGCAAGATTGACAACGACTTTGATCAGCGTCTGCTCACCTCTTTCCTAAAGAAACTCTTCACGGCACGCAGTTTCGAGGCAGACTTTGCATTGGTTGCGAATGTGGATGGCGCCTCAGGTGGACTCCGACACATTACCATGCCGGATGGCACTCGCCGTGATCACTTCCTGAAGTGGATCGAGAATCTAACGGATCGCCAGACACCTTCTTGGTTGGGTCTGCCCAACAATGCCGAAAAGGTGCTGCTAACAACTAGAGGCACAGATCTGGTAAGCAAGCTGCTCAAGATGCAGCAGCTGGAGGATGACGATGAGTTGGCCTACAGCGTTGAGGAGCAGTCGGAGCAATCTGCACTGGCCGTGGCACGTAGCGAGGATGGTCGCCCGTCCTGGATGAAGACACTGCACAACTCGGCCACCGCCTGGCTGGAACTTCTGCCGAAGAGTCTGCAAGTACTCAAGCGCACCGTGGAGAACATCAAGGATCCGCTATATCGCTACTTCGAGCGCGAGGTGACCAGCGGTGCTCGACTTCTCCAGACGGTCATCTCCGATCTACAGGATGTCGTGTTGATCTGTCAGGGTGAGAAGAAGCAAACCAATCACCATCGCTCCATGTTGTCCGAATTGGTGCGAGGCATTATACCCAAGGGCTGGAAGCGTTACACAGTGCCCATGGGCTGCACCGTCATCCAGTGGATCACGGACTTTAGCATGCGTGTGCAGCAGCTGCAGAAGGTATCACAGCTCGTCTCGCAGGCGGGAGCCAAGGAGTTGCAGGGCTTCCCCGTATGGCTGGGTGGTCTGCTCAATCCGGAAGCGTATATCACGGCCACCAGACAGTGTGTGGCTCAAGCCAACAGCTGGTCGCTGGAGGAGCTCGCTCTGGATGTGACCATTACCGATGCAGGTCTGAAGACCGACCAGAAGGACAGCAGCTTTGGTGTCACCGGACTCAAGCTTCAAGGCGCCCAGTGCAAGAACAATGAATTGCTACTCGCCTCGACTATTATGATGGATTTGCCCTTAACCATACTAAAGTGGATCAAGTGAGTATCACCACAAAATCTTGAATTTACTTGAGCTTGATTAACTTGTTTCGCTTTGCAGAATCTCGTCGGAGCCGCGGGTAAGCAAACTAACATTGCCCGTTTACTTGAACTCCACTCGTACGGAGCTGCTCTTCACGGTGGATTTGGCTGTGGCCGCTGGCCAGGATTCGCACAGCTTCTATGAGCGTGGCGTGGCCGTGTTGACCTCTACGGCTTTGAACTAATATCAATAACTATATAAAATATTGTATACGTTAATCATATAATCCATAGACAGTTTTGAAAACCAAATCCCTTATTTCCAATCAACAATTTTAAATATATATTCACATAACTAACAACCCCAACAAATAGAGCAATCTTGGCCTGAAATTCAAAAACGAAAGCGAATATGTTGAGCAAATTCGGGCAACTCCTACAAGGGGCGACTATTAGACATTCCCAGTACCGGCGATTCTATGGCCAGCCCGCCGTCCAGCGCGACAGTGTGACGGACACGACGCCTACTTCTCTGGTCCTGGAAGGTGAGGCGCGTCGATTCATTCACGATTGCCTGCGACGGGTGGGCGTGCCTTTCGAAAAGCTGCGCTGCATCAGCGACATTATGCTCGCGGCGGACTACAGAGGTATCCACGGCATGGGCATCGGTCGGCTGGATATGTATCTGAAAGATCTGCAACATGGCACTGTGGACATAACGGCCGAACCGGAGATTATCAGTCAGACGTCGGTAACTGCCCATGTGGATGGCCACGGCGCCATGGGCGTCTTTGTGGGCAACTACTGCATGGATTTGGCCATAGATAAGGCACAAAAGTCAGGCATTGGCTTTGTGGTGGCCAAAAGATCCCATGACATCGGCATGGCCTCCTGGTATGCATTCCGAGCCATGGCTAGAGGCTGCATTGGACTGGTGCTCTCGAATACCCCGGCCATGATGGTGGCTCCGGGAGGTCGGGACGCTAGCATTGGAGCCAATTGCTTGGCATTTGGCGCAGACGGCAAAGACTCACATTTTATGCTAGACATGGCAGCCAGTACGAAGAGCATGGGCGCCTTGGAGTGGGCGTATCTAAATGATGACCGTATACCGAGTAGCTGGGCCATGGATGAGGGCGGCCATCCCACCATCTTCCCCTGCCTGGCGCTCCGGGCCAACCGACTCAATCCTGCGGGCGGTCAAAATGGCTATTGCCTGGCCACCATGATTGATGTGCTCTGCGGAGTTATGTCTGGTGCAAACTATGCGACACGCGTTGCCTCCATGGATGCGGAACAGGGGAAGGGACCGACCTCAAATTTAGGTCTTGTCATGCTCGCTTTGGATCCGTGCGTCTTTGTGCCGGACTTTGAGGAGCGACTGGATGATTTCAAGAAGTGCATCGAGAATAGCATTCCTTTCGATACATCGAAGCCTGTCAAGCTGGCTGGCGAGCTGGAGAAGGCCCATATGCTTCGCGTGGACGACCTGGGTGCGCTGTCATTTCCCAACACCATGTTGGCCAAATTCAAACGCCTTGCGGATTTCCTTTGCGTGCCGTCGTTGCAATTGGCTTTCGCATCCAATAAGTCAAATTATCTTCGTGCGTAGATAGCAAATGTGAAATTCCAAATATCCGGCAGTTAATTTATATAAAATTGTAAAGATCTATGCTGCCGCCAGATGGCGCTTGATATGATAAACTGTGCTGCAGCCAGATGGTGCTGAGTTTGTTTCTCAGAGAGGCCGTCAGGGAGCGCTGCATAGTTGAAGCAAATGACGCTAGGTGGCGCTTAAACGAATTCGCTGTAATTCTAGCGCGCCATCTAAGGAGAAATTTTCTTCCATTTAAGGATAATATTGGGAGTAGATAATACGAGGGACAGTTTATAAAGGGATAATGAAAAATGGGAACAGATAAAGTATTGCTGAAATACTAGGGACAGGCTGTAATTGCGCTAAGGTGCTTGTAGAGGGCGCTGTGAACTGGCAGCTATATGAGTTGATTAGCTAACGTTATAGATTCCTACTATTTTAATTTTAACAATTTATTTTAGTATTGAGAAAATATCAGTATTATATATAGAGCATAGTTACCTATGTTATTTTTTTTTTTTTTATTTGCAACGTACTTCCAATGTAATATTCTATACTTTGTCGAGTTGAGAATACCCTTTGAGACAAATATTGAACGAATTGGGTATATAAAATATGGAAATATGGTTTTGCTAAAACGTTATTTTAGGTAAACCCCCCTCTGAAAGAACGACCTTTAATGCCAAAGCCAATAGATTTAATAGTTATATTAATAACAGTAGCTCTCTAGTTTATGTCATAAGAAGTGTATATAAACAACAGTTGCTTCAGATCGTCGACTCAGCTTGGCTCCCATGTGGTTTTCTGAACTACTTAAGGTAATTGCTGGATGCAAATGTGCAAATTTTCACAAATTACGTGAATTATGCAGCCGTTGAAGGGGTATAAATAGGCTTCGACTGCTCGTGGGGCACTTCATTGTGGCTGCCATGTCGTCTTCACTCAATCGGATACTCGTCTGCCTTTTGCTGCTGCTTCTGCTGGTTCTGGACTATTCGCTGGTTCATTCGCAGCAATCGAAGGATGCCCAGAGCCTGGAGGAGTTCCGCCAGAGGTATCTCATGCCTCTGCTCTCAGCTGGCACTCGAAACTGCACGCTGAATGCCTGCGAGACGCTGAGGATCATGTCGCAGCTGCTGCTGCTCATCAAGGCGTTGCCAAATGACACCATGAACAGCTTCATGGCCTCCAGTCCGCAGACTGCCAGAAGCAGGTCGAGTGGGCAGAGCAGAGACTCATCGGCGAACGGAGATGTCACCTCGATTTTCAATCTCTCGGAGTTCGATAAGCGTGTCAGGCAGATCGAGAGCCGACTGCGCTCCGTGGAGCAGCCTATCTGGCACTTGGCCAGCGGCAGCGAGCTGGAGTGGAACCACTGCACCTCTGGAGTGTGCCGCTGCAATCCGGACACCAAGAGCTTCACCTGCTGGAACACGAACCTAAAGACGGTGCCCGTCAGCCAGGTTATACCTATGAACATGGTGGCCATCGATCTGTCACGCAATTCACTCTCCACCCTGCATAAGGATACCTTTCGAGGCCTGACACTGCTCAAGCAGCTGGACATATCCAACAACGTGCTCGACTTTCTGCCATTCGATCTCTTCCAGGACTTGGATAGCTTATTACAGCTGTAAGTAAGCGCCAACTCTATTAATTTCTATCTAAGTTTTCCTTCCCACTTCTTCAGTCGCATCCAGAATAATAAGCTGGAGGACATTGATCCGCGAACTTTCTGGAAGCTGCGCAATTTGAACCTGCTGGATTTGAATAAGAATGAGATTAGTTTGCTGCCCGAGTCGCTGTTCTATCACGCCCAGCGGCTAACTGTCATCAATCTGTGCGACAATCAGATCAAGAACTTTCCGCCCAATCTGCTCAGGGATCAGCTGATGCTCGAGGAACTCGACATGTCGCGCAACAGAATCGAGGAGCTCGTCTCGGGCAGCATGCGATATCAAACCAAGCTGAAGGCCTTGGACTTTGGCTTGAATCAAATTGGTGAGGCATTAAATTGAATTTGTTTTGTCTAATTGATTGAATGAAACTTTCCGTTTGCAGCCAAAATTGACGACGATTTCTTTGAGGGTCTGACGAGCCTGCGCACCCTTATGCTGCACAACAATCGCATCACATCAATCTCGGGCACCATATTCAATAATCTGGTGAATCTGGTGACACTCGACTTGACCATGAATCGCATTAGTCACGTAAGTTTCCGTTTGATTGAGTTTTAGTGGGACTCTATTTACATAATGCCATTTCCTTGCAGATTGATGGCCATGCCTTTGCGGAGCTGAAGAATCTAAACGAGCTCTTCCTCGGCCAGAACTCCATGTGCAGCATCCCTTCGGGCCTGTTTCTGCAGGTGAGCGCCCTCACTCGACTGACGCTCTTCTCGAATAACTTGACTACGCTGGAGGCCAACGACTTTAAAGGCCTGACCAGCCTGAAAATACTGATGCTGAATAACAATGTACTGAAGCACTTCGATGCCCGGGCATTCGAGCCGCTCACCCAACTGGAGAAACTGTGAGTTTATTGCCCTTCAATTAACCACTTTGGCTCATTGGATGTCCTCTGCCTTTGTCTTCCCTCCCCAGTCGCATCGACTCCAATAAGCTAATGTATTTGCCGACCGGCGCTCTGCACGGACTCGACAAACTGGTGGCTGTTAAGCTGGACAAGAACCCCTGGCACTGCGACTGTCGCGCCTTGTACTTGGCCCGTTGGATACGCGAGTTCGTTGTGAAGCTATGGGATGGCCAGCAGCCCATGTGTCGGGGACCGGGCGACCTAGGCGGCCACGAGGTGGGCCTGCTGCGCTACGACGATCTCTGCGATGGGCAGTGGGCGAGCATGTTGTCGCTGTCGCCGCGTCTTCCGGTGCGCACCCATCGCATTTCCACCCCGATGAACTATACCGACTATTTCAATTTGTACTTGAAGCATATCTATAACTCCACCACGGACGAGCAGCTCAAGGAGGCCGAGATAACCAGTGTGGCCATCAAGAAGGTTCACGTCGATTAATGAGAGGGATGAGCTGCCAGAGTAAAGCAAATCTTAGATTATTAATCTGAGATTTTGTCTAGGACGTGCCTAGAGCTTGATGCTTTTTGTGAATTTTTTAGTCTTGATAGGCCTCTCCTATTTTTCTTGTCTATTAATCTATTGTACTACTCATTTATCTTTCTGTCAGACTGCCAGTCTGTACTCTGAATTCTCACCAATAACTCAGATTTGAAAGCTTACCTTATCAATGCGTTCGTATGTTAGTCGAAGATCCTAGCTGGAAAACTATTAAAGTTTATTATTATTTACTTTGCTCTCGTTGCTCAACATCAAAACACCTATATCATATATCCTGGCATCCTTTGGAATTCTCATTCTCTGAATCATCAAGTACTTCATCATCATTTAAAGTCATCAATATCATCATATCAAAGCCACCTACTGTGATCTGAGTAAGTATGGATAAATCTGTTATATATTACATAAGACTATTTTTAAGGACTATAACTCAGCCTGTTAGTAAGACCTCGCTCCTTAAATGAATCTAATATGCATACAATATTAGTCAACCACTTTAATATATAAACATACTTATCTATAGGTTGTCCTTCCAGACATAACTGTTACCTGTTTCCATTAGCCATTTCCCTGCTGTCTCTTAAATATTACGGCCATAATTGTTGGCCCTGTCGGCTGGCAAGTTTAGCCTTTGCCTCTGCCACTGCCCGTTTTCTATTAGTTCTCAGCCACATGGGCAAATACCTTTATGGATAGCTGACTGTGCTTCAAAGCAACTGCACTCCCTGCGATAGCCTTATTCACTCGTCTCCTCTCTTTCTCCCACTGTCGCGCGCTCCTTCTGCCCTTCCCTCCCTATGTTTCGCTCTCACAAATTACGGCGATGTCTCGCGTTTCGGTTTTTGCCTATGTGTCTACGTCTAGGACAAGCTTTTTACCTAACCAATTTATTGCTTCCGTTGCAGTCTCCCTACTCCTCACTCCCTACTCCCCACACCTTACTCCCTATCTCAATCCCTTCGATAGCACTATTCCTTGGCTCACCTAGTCGTGGTAGTTTTTGCTGTTGTCCTTGCAATTTCCATGTGTTGACATTGCCCACGCTCTTCATTTTACATTTTCCCATTCACTTTCCCCACTTTTTGTCGCTGACCCTTTTTGTCCCCTCTGCCCTCTCTTTCTCTCTGCCTATCTGCTGGCTGCTAGCTGCTTCCTGTTGCCTACCGACTGCCGTCTACAGCTAGGCTCCTGCCTTCATTTCCGTCCCTTGCCCTTTTGCGTGGGCGTGGCAGTGGGCGGCGACTGACTCGTATGCAGACAACAAATGCATTTTATGCGAAATTTGCAAGGCAAATATTAAAAATTGAATGCCGACATTGTTGTTGTTGCTGCTAATGTTGTTGTTGCAATACTCTGTAAGTGAATTAAATGAGGGTGTATTAGTTGTGTGTGCTCATATGTAACTAATAGGTGGAAATTCTAAATACATACACATCTACGTACATATCTCTCTTTCTCTCTCTCTCTCTCTCTCTCTTTCCTTCAAGAGTAGAATCTTTAATAAATTATATGAGCCGAGTGATTTGATTTTCTATATTTATATTGTTACCCTTGGCTTTTTGGGCTGTTTAAACAGTGGGTCAGCTTTGGCCAATTTCTTTATAGACTTAGTCAAGGAGAAAGACAACTACAGGTCAGTTGTTAAAGGATACCTTCCAGTTATTTCCAGTTATTCATCAGTTGACTATTATTTCCAGCTATTGTTGCTTATATCTTATTTGCAGTCAACTCATTCATATTGAACTATCCATAATCCGAACTGTACAGAGTATTTGCAAGTCGGCCATCCGCCATTTGTCTCACTATAATTCAGTGCTGTTGTTGTTTTTGTTTATACGTTGTCTTGCTTGAGCCTGGGGCGCTGATTGCCTTAAAAGTGTCTCAGCTTTGTGTCCGCAGAGGTTGTGTGTGGCAGGGGGAGCACTGTATAAAGGGGAGCTGCGTAAACTGTCAACCCTTTTCCTGCGTGGGTAGCGAGCTCCGTGCATAATATACCATATACAATATACGATATGTAATCATAATTTTTT